ATTCCACACTTATTTGTCATTGGAAATAATGCAAAATTCCCACTCCAAAGTAGTTGTCATCCTCCAAGAGGTTTGTACACTTGCGGTGTTTTTTCCCAACACCCCAGCCTTTAACTGAAATGCTCATAATGGCAAGTTCATGTCATCCTTACCCACAGCCAGATTTTTCCGTGACAGCAGGTTCACATCACCCACCCATTTTTCATGATATGATGGTCACATCACCTGGATTATAGGGGTGAAGGGGTCTTTTTGGTCATTTTTCGGCAAAAATAGGCCATCTTTCTGAAATTTAGTTGAATGCACTTCCAAAGAGTTTCAGCACCTCTAAATCTCCCCTGAAATTTTTAAGGCCCACCTGCTAATTTGAAGTGGTAGCAGCTACTTTCATTGTCAATTGAAATTGGCAATTGTGATATAAGGGTTAGATATAATAAAAATTAATTGATTATTTTCTGAAAGCTTATAAGATTTCACATATGAGACCAGCCTTCTTTTTTTGGAATAATATAAAAAATCTGGGAAGCATTCAAAAGACAATAACAAAGAATTTTCCTATACCAATAAATAAGAATATAACGTTCATATAGAGTATTTTCTTTTCTCTATGTTTGGTTCATATTTTGTCAGTTTTATCCTTTGGAGAGTGTTCTTGAAAAAAGGTTATGTATGCCAAGAAACACCCTAATCAGTGACCTAATAATAACATAAGTTACTTGGTGAGGTACTGTTACTTGGAAGGCAAGTAAACGATGGAGGATTATGCACTAGGAAGATTATTTGTAGAAAAACCCACAATGCACAAACTAGATTTATTGAAGAAAGTGAGACAACAGTTTCGGAATTGTCCTCGATTCCATCTTCGAGGACGATTCCGAAACTGTTGTCTCACTTTCTTCAATAAATCTAGTTTGTGCATTGTGGGTTTTTCTACCATAGTATCAACACGGTAGTGTGTTTTTCTATTCATCATAGGAAGATTATTGTTATATGCATTTTATTAATACCAAAATAATCATGAAAATGTACAAAAAATTAAGCTGTTGATATTTCAAAACTACCTTTGTAGGCTTCAAAAGTTGTAGCACCCTCAATTTTAGTCCAAAATTAAAATTTTATGGCTCATTTTGTAGCTGAATAATAACTCTAGTGCTTGTTAGGTTTTGTTTTTTTAATTTTTCCCATTGCTTCTTGTAGAAGTAACATTTGTAGATGATACCTTTTTTTTTTTTTCACTCTAACTCAAAAACTATTCAGGCAATTTAGAAAATATTGACCTCAGGGATTGCGCTAAGGTATAAATAAAGTGTGTAAGTTTCATCAAAATCGGCAAAAGATATTGAAAAACAGGCGTTCGCTTTAATGGTTAGATACTCAATGAGAAGTTACACATAATTTGTTTGGACTAATTACAATCAAAAGTAACAATAGAAATAGAGCATGCTAGGAAGTTAGCATTCCAAATGAAAAAGTTGATTTTAGGTTCCCATGTATTTAACCTGATATTTTGCTGAACTGTCATTAATGTTGTGATATTAGATTATCAGGATGCTTTACAACTTTCAAGTACTTGGTAGAAAAACATCTTTGGTAGCTAGACACATAGAAAATTTGATTGTATTAATTGTTCTTTGGTATTATAACCAGTGTAAAATAGAATTTGGGAGCAAATTTATGTTCATATATTACTTTAAAACTTATGACTGAGCATTTGTGGGATCAGCAAGGAAATTATTTAAAACCCAACTTTCTTCATATATTGCATTACTGGTGTGCTTTCACAGGCAATTACAAACCAATATCACATTGAGAGATTATGGCTGAAAAGCATTTCTGGTGTAAAGCCACTATAGGTGGTCTTGGATCATGAGTAGAATTTTGTCTCATCTTAAAAATTTTGGTATTCCTATAAAACTTATTAAACTCTAGTGATGTATCCAGCAGTTTTTGTTTTTGCTATATTGTTTATAACACTCCTGTAACTAAGCAAGTACACTATGCTAGCATTTGTTTGTTTCTAAAAGAGTATAAGAAAAACTTTTATCTTAACAGGCACAGAGATTAGCTGAGGAAGCTCACTCTGTTGGAAGTCTAGTGATGACGCGGGTATCTGCCGAGCTCAAGATGGCACGGTCCCTGGTACGACTGGCAGAGATACAGGCTACACTCCATGAACAAAGGTAAACATTCCAGTCTTGTGAATCTTTTTTTGCTGTATTTCTTTTTCTTTTTTCTTCTTTTCTTCTTTTCTCATCATTTTTCCCTCCACTAGTAATGGAGATCTTAGAAAGGGAAAAGCTTAGAAGTGCATCCTAACAACTTGTGAGATGATATGCTAACTGGTTTTCCATATCTCAGAAAGTAGATGACTTTCTGAATAATAGTGAACTGTTTAGGAAAAATAAAACAGCATAAAATGGTTTTGCATTTGCAGGAAGTTTAAAAATGAAAAATTACAGTTTGTTCTGGAATTCAAAATCACTCTTGATCAGTTATTTTAATCTCGTATCAATGTTTGGATTTTAAACCGTTGCATCCAGTTGTATCATGGGAAATCACGTTGCCGAATATATGGGCAGTTGGTTACATGAGTAGCAAACATCCCAGGCATGCACTAACACCCATGAACGGTGACAAGACTCTATGCCTCCCCGTTTCAAAGTTAATTTTGTGTAAACTTTTAAATTTTGTTTTGCCATTTTACAATGTTCATATTTGTCTTTTGATTTGCTTTATCCAAATCGAAATAAGCTTATTTTCCTTGCACAGACTCCATATCATATCTCTGTGTAGTGAATAACTACACAGTATAGAATATTGGTTATTTGTCATATATCTTATTTTTTCATAATTTTCAATTTTCCATAATACAACCTGTGCTGCCGGTCACAGCAGCTAGAAATCTGGAGAGCAGCATGGAAATGGTGTCCTCCCTAGAGCCAGCACTCTTCCAGTCACGGCTTATGCACATAACATTCCACATTCACATCCAATACAGTGTCACACTGGCGGGATACCCGGCATTGTTTATTTTTTTCGGGTTTCTCATATATAGGACACCCGTTGCAATTGGATTAACCCAGATTTTTCCATGACGGGACTGTAATGTTATTTGGATCATAGGGGTTAATATACTCAAGCTGGGTACTGTCCTATCACATCATGGGGAAAACTTTAGCTAGATGATGTATAATCAAGGCTGCTCTGAAGCTGCAGTCACACAATTGTTTTTTTCTTGTCATCCTCTTCCTCCTCAATGATCAGTTTGTGATATTAACCAACCTTTGAAGTTGTTTTCAGTCTATATGTTGGCTATTTCCCAAATTGCTTTTCATACAAGGAAACTGAAGTATTGCTTAAAATATTTGATATCAGTCCATAAACATGGCTGTGAGGTCCCTAAAAGTCAAGAAACTCCACACTTGTAAACAATGATGACATTACGGCTACTGTGCGATTAAATTCATAAGCACTTTAAAAATGTAAGGAAATAAATGCAAATTTTTTTTTTTTTTTTTTTTTTTTTTTTTTTTTTTTTTTTTTTTTAATGTATATGAAAAATGAGGCATTTGCGGTTAAATAAGATTTCTTGCTAGACTATAGATTCCGTTGCTATGCCCCAGTTGTTAATTACTGTTTCATCCAACCTCTAAAAAAGTTGCCGAAAGAAAAGGATTATGCCAACTTTGAGGTTAGAAGAAGTGGGAAAATTAGATAGTATTACCAATCTGTTGTTGAAGAATGCTCTTGTAACTGCAGCTCAGGTTGTGGGCACTCAACACTTGCTGGCATGTTTACCCTTGACTGCAGTCACTGAGAAGAAACAACCCTCAAAAGTAGGCCTAAAGCTTCTTGTTTGCCTGGTTTCCTTAACCCACTAGTGACGGCATATATTGAAGCCAAAAATAATAGTTTCCGGGTGGCTTCAAAATCAATGCACAGGGCTGGCCCTGAATCTTCCCGGGTGTCTCATATGTGGGACACCTGTTGTAAATGAGTTAAGAAAAAAAAAAAGAGGAGAGTAGTTTTTCACCATTCTAACTTCTGACTGAGGTGGCTGACTACACAATCTCTGGCTGTATGATGTGGTGAAATCACATCAGGAATTGGTTAAAGAATACTGCTCATACACTTTGAATGAATTTATTGAACTAATCACCAGGTGTTCATAGCTTAAAGGTGTTTATTTATTTATATTGTTTTTATTTCCACTTTATTTTATTTTATTTTATTTTCTTATGTTTAAGTTTTATGTAAGATGTAAAATATTTACATGTTCACAAAATTTGTTTTTGTTTTTCTTTCTTTTTTCTTCTTTCTTTTTTCTTTTCTTTCACTCTTTCCTTTATCTTATCTTTTCTTTTTTTGATTTATTTTCTTTCCTTTTTTTTTTTTCTTTTTTCATGGTACTTACAGAAACTAATAGTGGATTTGTTTTTTCAGGATACTTTTTCTACGTGCTCAGAAGCGAGAACTTGAGGAGATGAAGGCGCAGAATTCCTTCATGAGTGACACATAGTGTTGGGCTGCCTGTGATAGCTGCCTGGGTCAGTTGTCTGGATGTTGACATGCCTGGGATTATTTATAAAGTGTTATATTTTCTTAATCATGTACTGGATGTGTGAACATTGGTGAAGTCCAAAGTGCAGGGTGTGGCAGTGAGGTGAGGCCCGAGTCCTCCCCTCATGTGTGGGTTGTGGGCGAGTGCCAGCACCAGTATCATCACAGCAGCCAGTGCAAAGATGACTGCTGCCACAGGCCAGGGTAACTGCCAGCTCCTCACAGGATTCACCAACAACCTACCGTCCTGTGTCTGGCCCGGCCTACCCTGGCAACCCTCCACCGATATCCCCAATGTCATCTATGTTTCTCTGTGATGAATGACACAACTAGACACCTCTGAAGGCTGAGCCTGTACACTGAACAGCTCTGCTACGTCACAATGTAATACCGGCTAGCCAGAGGCTGGCACTGTATCACACTCCCTGGGGTCTTGAGAATCACCCTTCGAGCATCATCTGTCCCGTTCCCCTTCGTCACTCTCACTCTGTGTTCCTTCTTTGCTGGCTGACTTGTCAAGCCCATGTGGATATCTGGAAGTCTTGGCAGAGCTCTCCAGCCCAATAGGTTTGAAAAAAAATAACAAGAAAAAAAGAATTGTTGTCTTATTGCTTTACACATTTCACAACAAAACACTAGTGAACCACTCCTCTTACCAGCATGTCACTACCGGAAGGATGTCACGGGTGGCTTCACCAGCTCTATTCCAGCATCCGGGGAATAAGTTGGGCGAAGCGAGCAGGGGTGACTTTTCTGTCGTGGTAGCAGTGGTACACGGAACTTTTACCTATTTACTATCAGTAGATTCTGGAGAGCGTAGTTGAATTTCTTAACTGCTTTCCGTAATCAGTTATCCAAGTGTAAGTCCTGTGAATGTGTTTTGTGTTCTTGGTGACTGTCACATGGTCCCCAGGGTTGGATTTGAGGCAGTGTCTTGAGCATTTTGATGCTGACAGATTAAATGTTATTTAAGTCATTGTTTTTGCTGGCTAATCTGTATCTCAGACAGTCTTTAAAGTTCCAACTGGGCTGTGAAAAGTTTCATTGTCATGTTCTTTACGACAGTTGTTGATATATCTTCTTCAGGAGTCATATGTTTAACTAAAAGTATAAATTTGTAGATAAACCGGGTTATTATTATAGTCACTGTTATTTTCATAATTATATTAACTTTATTTCTCTGTAGAAATTTGGAGGCCATTGTAGTGACTGTAAAGCAAGGATTTTATTTTATTCTTTTACTGATTTTGTTTGTTTGTTTGTCTTTTATTTTTTATTCTTTCCACCAACACAGCCTCATAATTTAACTTATTTACTGGATTTTATTTTTTGTAGTAACTGTATTTTTCATTTTTTAATAATTTTTTTAACAAAGCCAGTTTCCAAAAATAACAAGGGGCTGATATTACTAAGGACATCTAGATTTCTTACAAGCAATGTGATTTTCTTGCTTTTTCTTAATTTATTTTCCCTTTTTTATATACTGTCTTTTCAATTTCATTGCGCTGTCAATTATACTCTGATCAGTTGACATGGTAACTAATTTCTCTTTACATCCTCTCTTCATCAGGACTTGCTGTTTCTTACAAAATTATGGGAAATTAATTGATGATTAGATGCCGTCTGTAATTTTTTTTTTTTTTTTTTTTTTTTTTTTTTTTTTTTTTTTTTTTTTTCCCCAAGTGTGAGCCAGCTCAACAACCACTCCAAAAAGCCAAGCATTAAAAAAGGTTGTTGGGTGAATGATTAGTTTGGAACGTTTTGAGAAAAAAAAAAAATCTTGTTTAGTCTTGGTAATGGAAGAACATTACTTTATTTCTCCCTTCTTTTTGGTTCATTATTAATCAATATGTTATAGTTTTTGTTTTGGGGGTACTTTTGAAAAGAAAAGATAAAAAAGTGTTTAAAGTGGTAATCATTGTTGTATCACCTTTTGGGAGTCAAGAAGGGAGTGTTTATGTGAGATTAAGTGCACACAAAACCAGCGAATTGGAGCAAAGATCAGAGCTCCGTCAGGAGAGCTAGATTTTACGTCTTCAAGCTTGGCAGACAACTGTATCAGCCGCAACATTTGCAAGAGAAGAGAGAAGGGATAGTTTCACCAAAAAAAAAAATGAAAACAGAAAATGTAGTACTAGGCCCAAGGTCTCCTCCCCGTTCGCCATCAGTAGATTATGGAAGGGACAGGAAAACATGGTGCTAAATTAGAACAGTTATTGGGTGTTCGTCAGCACTGGCTGTGATGTGGCCAATTTCTTTTCCTTTCTTGTTTTCATTTATAAAGAATATAACCTCTTTAGTTTCTTGTGAATTGAACTTGCATGTTCTTTTATTTGTTATTATTTTTCTCTTTCTTTCTTTCTTACCCTCTCCATCTCCCTCTCCCCATCTTTTTTCTCTCCTCTCCTCTCCTCTCCCCCCCTCCTTTCTTTTCTTTTTCTTTCTTTCTTTCTTTCTCTTTTCTTTTCTTTCTTTCTTCTTTCTTTCTTTCTTTTTCTTTCTTTCTTTCTTCTTTTCTTTCTTTCTTTCTTTTCTTTCTTTCTTTTCTTTCTTTCTTTCTTTCTTTTTCTTTCTTTCTTTTCTTCCTTTCTCTTTTCTTTCTTTCTTTCTTTCTTTCTTTCTTTTTCTCTTTTCTTTCTTTCTTTCTTCTTTCTTTCTTTCTTCTTTCTTTCTTTCTTTCTTTCTTTCTTCTTTCTTTCTTTCTTTCTTTTCTTCCATCTCTCTCCTCTCCTCTCCTCTCTCTCCTCTCCTCTCCTCTTCCTCTCCTCTCCTCTCCTCTCCTCTCCTCTCTCTCTCCTCCTCTCTTCCTCTCCTCTCCTCTCCTCTCCTCTCCTCTCCTCTCCTCTCCCCTCTCCTCTCCTCTCCTCTCCTCTCCCCTCTCCGCCTCCTCCCTCTCCCTCTCCCCTCTCCTCTTCTTTCTTTCTCTTTTACATCACAGATTTGTACTTTTTTTTTTTTCTTTTTTCTTTCTTAACCATACTGCCAAAGACCAAAGGACATGTTGCTTTTGTATTGTAATGACATTTATTATTGTAATTAATCTTGAAGAAGGCTAGTGTTTAAAAAGGATGTAATCCTTTTTGTTTTTTTGTTTTTTTTTTGTTTTTTTGTTTTCTATGGTTTTCACCCTCCCCTTCAGAATCAAGTTTGAAGATTCCTATCCCAATGTTTTCTTTCCTTATAATGTTCTTTTCCGTCACAAACATTCATTGGTGGTTCCTATGCAGCAGCTATCACAACAATTGGATTATGTAAGGCTAATAGTTTATCTTTGCATTCCATTTTCTACACCAGATTCTTTTTCTTCTCATACCCGTTCTATATTTTCTGTGATTCCTTCCCTATATTCACAAACAGCAGTGTCGGTATACCCCTCCTCCCCTCTCCTTTTGTATTATCAGGTCGGTATTTCTTTTTTTTCTTTTTTTTTTTCTTTTCTTTTTTTTTTTTCTTTTTTCTTTTTCTTTCGGAGGACAGTTTATATTCATCTCACTTTGAGTAAATTTGGTAAAGAGGAATTACAGTTCTTTTACTTCCAACCGAACACAGTTGTGACTGATCTCGTTCCTTTGGCATACCAGTTCCTTTTGATTCTCCAGTGCGCTCAGATGATGCCACGCGCTGTTTCTCATCCAAAAGAATTAATATTAACCCTCTTTTTTGTTGTTGTTGTTGATCTTTTTTTTTATGATGCTACATGGATATATATATATAGATATATACCTCATTTCTTAAATTTGTTCCAGTTAAGTCATATTGGGTTCCTCCCATTGAATTCATGCCCAAACTTCTGCTCATGTTTCAGTTTATTTTGTTTTACTTGCTTCATTATTATTTTTATTAAAATTATGAATATTACATTGTGATTTTCCCCTGATTAATTTTTCCTAACCAATCATACACTGCAGTCTAAGGTATGGGTTTGTCAACAGGGGTATTCACTACAGGTATGTATTCATATTCGTCATTAAATGAGGAAATCAAACATTCCTGGAGTGTTTTCTCTCTTGTTGGCCAGCCCGAGTTCACCCGAAATCAAACATGGGTTAGTTAGGATTCCTGTGGCCCATGGCTGAGTTTAACAAGAGGCTACGGATTATTTATATATAAAGGGAAGCTGGTGGAAAGACCACGTTAAGTTGGCCTGAGTCCACATGCTTGTACATAAAGTGTCTAACGTAGAGGTTCTCAGTATATGTAGGTTTTGTACAAAAAAGAAAAGGGGGGCTAACATTCTACTTGTGATAAATTATAGGTAAATATTTAATGCATGTATCCGTGCCCCTGGTGAACTATGCGACCCAGTGCAGGCTGCTGTGTTCAACTTGTCAGTCTAAAGAAGTTTGTTTTACTGTCTCGTCATTTTTTTCTACATCAGAATCGCACCCATCTGTACACAAGTTTGAAATCATGCCATATTTTGTTGATCTGTTGTTTCCATTGGATATTGGGGTGGGAGGGGGTAATACCAACCTAAGGGAAAATATAAGGCTCACATATTTGAAACACGAGAAATGAATAAGAGGATATATATTTATTAAAATTTGATGTACTGATTAATGGCCTCCAGCTTGGCTGTGATGACAATGGTTGTGTGTTCGTTGCCCAGCTGGTGACCAGGCTGACTTAGTGGACCTTTAGAATCAGATGTTTTACAGGACACCAGATTCACTGTTTGTGTTGGTCTCCCCTTTTTCAACACTTGCTTTAGGCCAATTAGCCTAATTTTGTAAATATCATTCCTTCTAAGAAAGGTTAAATAAAGCTGAGCTCCAAATGTTTATTTACTTCGCCTTACGACTGAGTTGTTTACATTCCTGGCATTAAAATGCAGCTGTTTCATAGCAGAACTATGCCCAAATACTGTAAAAATAAACACAGTAGAAATTTAAAATAGTGTTCCCTTTACTAGCTTAAAGAGTAAAAACTTCAGCAGCCTACTGATGGCAGGATGAACAGCTGAGATTATTTGTGTGGCGTTGAGCTTGTTGCAAAGTGTCTCGAGCACACGGGCGAACGATAAATTTTGCATTTTTAAGGGTAAGGTTGTAGGCATTTATGCTAGTGTCCAAACGACATTAGTTGGGCAGTCAAAGTCTGGCAGTGACAAACAATCGAGTGGTGTCGACAACGCTGAAAAATCGTGTGTATTATAGCAATGTGCACAAGATAAAATCTGTAAAGAGTGGCTACAAAGTTCACACCCACCGCCAAACCTTCCCGAGCAACCGATAAACCGTCGATACTTGGCTTAAATATTAAGGGAAACCTATACTAAGCTTTGCTAGCTGTTTCTCCATTTCTTACGTCACACCGAGCAAACCTCGTCCGGGACCTTAGTGTCCAGCCCGGATAAAATAGCTTCTAAATATTGGTAGAAAAATAAAAACCTATTTTACGGTTTGTTTAAAATCCAAGGTACAGCCCGAATAAAAGCGTA